TTCTAAAATGTTATCACTGGTGATTGCCCTTTACTAGGAGGGCATGAACTATATAAGCATGAACTAGTCACTAAAATAGAGATCTTTTTAACTCATAGAAAATTAAGATATGGCTTATTTGAGTGGTTTAATACATTTGGTAATATTTTAAAAGTGTTTTAATTTTAAATGGAGAAAGTCTTAAGTCTAAGGGTCTTCCTCTGCTTGGCTGCAATCTGCATTTTATTTTGCATATTGGGCAAGTATGTCACATAGTACCTCATTTACAGTATTTCTAATTTTTGTCATGTAACCTCCACATTCCCTTATTTAAAGAACTTTCATCTGGTCACTAAACAATAATGTCCTTCCACAATGCCATTCTTGAAATCACAGAATTAGAGAGCTAAAGCCCATTCCCGGGTCTGCTGACTCTAACTGGGTCTCAGACCTCACTTTGAACTAGATGTCCATGGCGGCCTCTCAAGCATTAAGTCTATAAGCTTTTGTTCCCAAGATCAGTTTATCTTGTCTGAGCTCCTGCCTGCCCCTGTGTTTGAGCTCCTGGCCTCTACTGAGGAAGCTCCTCCCCTCTTACTGAGTTTTTAAAGCAAACTTTACATAGCTCCTTCACCTCCCACATCCATGTCCTTCCTGGTGCAGCCGAAAGATGCCAAAGGAGACTATTGGGACACACTGATGGCAGCTGTCATCAGGGTTGGGGGAGTAAAGAAAGAAGTCCTCACTGTGTGCTGTGTTCCCAGATTATCATCTGGCCCACAAGTTTTATTGTTGCCAGGTGGTTTTCAAGGTTTCCATGTGTGTTTATCAGGGGTTATCCTCAGGAAGAAAATTGCCCAAATCATCAAGCCAAAGTCAGATTTAAAAAACAATAGTCACTACCTGCTGAAATGTATCTGTTTTTTGTTTGGTTTTGTGTTTGTTTGTTTGTTTGTTTGTTTGTTTCAAGATAGGGTTTCTCTGTATTGCTTGGAGCCTGCCTGTCCTGGAACTACCTCTGTAGACCAGGCAGGACTCTACCTACAGAGATACAACTGCCTCTGCCTCCCAAATGCTGGGATTAAAGGCGTGTGCCACCAATGCCCGACTAAGAACAATGAAGAGAAATCTCCCAAAAGTGGGTTTTCCTTGTGGTAATACAGAACATCAATGGTGCTGGTGTATGCTATTGCATGTGGAAACAGACTTGTCCAAACGCTCTAAATAGCCTGTAATATTCTGGAGAAAAACTGTTTTTGACGAGATGTTATAATAAATCACCTATAAGGATTCTGTACATTCCTGTCTTTCCTTGAAGGCAGATACATAAAACACCACCACATTAGCAAAGCTGTATATAGAAGTTTCTCTTTGGGGTTCTCCCAAGCCTCCTGGGGCTTGATGAGCCCTAATCAACATGCCTGCTTGTCTTGCTCTGACCTTGTGATTTGGTGTGTATGGCTGGTAACTGTTTCGAAGCCCCCTGTTACCCATGCCTCTTGACTGATCCGTCATTCTCTGACTAGGTGTCTGTTCTCTCTTCCTTTTTGCTGACCACAGAGGCGCAGCCCGGTAAGAGCTCTCAACATTTTAAACCTTAAACATGTGTAGAGAAAGTTGCTGCCAAAGGGAGGTGGTAAGGTCGCTTTCCCAGTACCATTATGTTCACCTAGTGACCAAGATGCAGATGAACTGGGTTCACTGGTTGGAAGCTTCTGGCTGTCTAAACGTGAGAGCATTTAAAATTATCAGAACATTTGTCTATAATTGAATTAATGCTGCCTGATGTATAATATAGGGGTGTGTGTGTGTGTGTGTGTGTGTGTGTGTGTGTGTGTGTGTGTGTCCAAGGACCAAAGTACAGTTAACACAAAAGTTAATGCAAAGTGATGATGATGACAGCAGAGAAGAAATTTCTTCAGAAATAATACCTAACAGTAATAATAATGTGGAGCTAGAGATATGGCTCAGTGGTTAAGAGCATATCAAGAACTTGAATTAGGTACCAAAACACACATTGGCCAGCTCGTAGCTGCCTGTAATTCTAGCCCCAGGGAATCTGCTCTTTTCTTGACTCTGCAGGTGCCTGCACGCACGTACACATAGCCACTCAGACACACACATACATAATTTTAAAATAATAAAAATATCAATGAAACTGAAGAAAGGAATTTTCAAACATCACTTTTGAGCCCATATTCAAAATATGCCCTTGTACCGTAACTTACATTGGTCCGTATGCACTAATACATACTCAGAATGAGAAAGGGAGGCATACTCCCAGGCTATCGCATCACCCTAGACAACTTTGACAAGATATTCATCCTGGTAGTTCACATTTTTCAGAGGGAAATCAGTTTTCCTCAGGTCAAAGAATCTGAAGGACTCAAAGCAATGCAGAAGCTGTTGGAATAACCGTATCTACCTGTTCAGTCCCTTAGAGAAGGTGTGACTGCTGTGGTGACACACACCTATAATCCCAGTGCTCCGGAGGGGCTAAGATGGGAAAATCATTGCAAGTTCAGAGCCATCCTGAGCTACATAGTGAGTGCAAGTCCATTTGGGAATACTTAGCAAGCTCCTACAGAGAGAGGAGAGAGAGAGAGAGAGAGAGAGAGAGAGAGAGAGAGAGAGAGAGAGAAAGGAGAGAGCAAGAGAGAGAGAGGGGGGAGAGAGCGAGAGCGAGAGAGAGAGAGAGAGAGCAAAGCTCTCTGAAATGTTCCTAAACTTATGCCAATAACAGTCATTACTATTTGAGGCAAATACCACCCTACCTAGTGACAAGCCACTGCTTTTCTATTTAAACTATGAGATGATATCTCCAGAGACAGCTAGCCAGAATATGACAACTCCAACCCAGGCCTTAGATGATCTCAGATTGTGACAACTCATAAGGAATGAATTCATTGATTCAAAATGACAAGTAATTCACTATTTTACATATGTGTATATCTGTGTGTGTGTGTGTGTGTGTGTGTGTGTGTGTGTGTGTGTGTGCGCGTGTGTGTGTACACATATATTCAGCAATAGTCAATGGAATAAAAACATGGTCGCTTGAGGCTTCAGTCAATGTGCTTCCTTCCTGGGTGTGGCCTCTATGGTGACAGCACCTGGACCTCACTTGTGTACTACAGCCTCAGGTCCTCAAGGGCTATGCTACACACTCAGCTGACAATGAGGCCCTCTTTTCCTATTGGGCCGGCTTGTTGCTGTTGGCCGTTTGAATCTATTCCTTTGTACCTGCTTTATTCTTTCTCATTTCAAAACAAACCGAGCTTGTCTGTATATTTCTTCCGTGTCTGGCTTGCACTTAGCTCACTCCTTCCTGGGGTGCATGCCATACTGTTGCAGGAGCTCCCTTGCTGCCTGCCTTCCAGTGATAAATGCATGTGGGAGGAAGGGGCACACATGGCACCTGGCGAATAAGAAGAAGTGCTCTTCTCGCTTCCTTGGGTATTGCGATTCTAATAAAGTGAGCAGTGTAGATAGATCAAAAGGGCTTCAGTTCAGCCTCTGGTATCTTCTATCTGCTAGATCGCAGTTCTCACAGTACAAAGTAGGACCCTCTGCCCTCAACCAGCTCATTAATCTTGGAGTTCAGTACTTGAACCCCTGTGTCTCTTCCTTCAGACCTTAAAATAGTTCTCATATCTGGGGGGTTGATAGTGCAGAAAAACATTTCAACTCTGCTTTAACAATTCATTCTTCAGTCATCTGTCTGTATATCTCCTCTATCCAAACTTCCATAACGAGTGAGGTAGGTTGGAATCAGTATATTTATTTCATTACTAGCAATGTGATTGTTTTCTATCTGGCACACAGAGTAAGACCAGATAATTTGCCTTTTTCAGGCAAAGCAAGCTAGAAGATGTAATCTGCACAATTAAGCCACCCATCAAGAAATATCTAATGGGTTTGTTCTGAATCAGACTGTTCCTCCATCATAAATGGACTCAAACTGGAGCAGAAAAATTCTAACTTGCCAGTTTAAGGAAAGATCAAATGCAGCCCGTTGGTCTGCTGTAAAGTGTTAAACCATGCCCTGCACTGTTAAGGTTATTATCTAAAAGAATATAACACAGCAGCTACTCTTCCCCACAGCGAGAAGGGGCGGGAATTAGTGCCTCTTAGACCACTTCTCTGTACTACCACCTTCCACCCTTTCCTAAGGCAAGCCATGCCCTGCCTCATGATGTCACCCTCCTGGTGTCTTACTTTTCTAGAAGAGTCCATGCTAAAAACCTGTCACAGCCTCTGACTTCAGTCAAAACGTTTCATTGAGTTGCTTTTCCTATTATCTGAGTAAGTTTGTGCCGAGACTCCATCCCTGTAGGTGACCTGCATGGATGATTCTTGCCAGAACTATTTGCATTCTACCAGAGGTCTCGCACTGAAAAGATGGCTCCTGGCTGGCAGACTGATGTTAGGAAGTGGGGAGGAGGCAAAGGAGAAGATGGGTAGGGAGGATGGAGCTTCCAGGGTGCCTGTATAAAACACTCTTGTCAGTGGGACATGAGTAGACTTCAGTCAACATTCACCACTTTCACCCTTCAAGTCCTGGCCATTCTGATAACTATTTCTGCTAACCACTTTGGGATCCCATCTGACCAAGAGCAGACAGTACTCACACATTCTAGAATTTTCAAACACTGAACATTTAATAACTCTGGATGCTTATGTGCTAGAGTTTGAGGGACCTAGTTGTAAGAGACCAGTTTGTGTCCTTGCTAAATCCTCCCAGGTAAAGGGCTTGCTCATTCTGGTGAGTTACAGATGACTCTCCTTCTCTGTCACTTTAGAGTAAAAAAGCTGGTGTGTGTGTGTGTGTGTGTGTGTGTGTGTGTGTGTGTGTGTGTGGTGTCTACCCACAGGTTCCAACTTCAGTGTGGTTCTGAGTCAAATTTTCTTTTTCCAATCTGGAATATCTCTGAGTTCAGTTTAATTCAAATGACAGAAATAATACATATTGTACATAACATATATGTGGTCTTAAGCCTTATAGTGTTTATTTCTAATTCTAGGGTGCAATTAAAAGGAACTTATCCAGTAAGTATATCTTAGCTCCCAGAAATAGAGTATGGTTTGACAGAGGAATAGTTCCTTGGATCTTGGAGCATATTTGCATTCGAATTGCAAGTTTGGGGATTTATTTTTAAGGCTTTCAAAACAAAACATTTATAGCAAAGATTTCTTGTTATGATGGAGGATATTTGGGTTCTGAATGATTAATGCTTAAATTCTCCAAACAAATATATTTTTGGAAAAACACCAGTGCTTTCTTCCTATATTTGTCAGCTCTTGCTGTATCTTTAAGCCTAGAAGTTAATTTAATCAGTGGTTGATTAGACGCACTGTAGCTAGAGGTGGGGAGAGAGAAGGAATGCCTAAAGACAAATCAATTTATCTATTCTTACATTATTGGATATGAAATTTCAGTTCACCAAAGTGATATGACATAGGTTATCACATATAGAGTCTGATACACCTCCTGCCACATACAATGTATCTTAGAAAAATCTAATTTCATTCATTCTTTAAGTTGCAACATTTCCTTGCCATTTAAAAAAAAAAAAAAGAGCAGACTGACAACTGGATCTGTGTGGCCTGGATTATTTTTCCCCAGGGTAACAGAGCCAGAACCATTTCAGGCAACAGGCATTCATTTGAAGAATGGTAGTAGGCTGTTCCTCTGAGCTCTACAATATACAGATCTTCAAATGTTGGCTTGTTTATGGTTTTTCTTTGGTTAATGAGGTTTTACAAATGCCAGAGAAATCCTACCACATATGGCAGATATATGGCTGTTGCATCACCAGGAGAGAGGGTTTGTTTTGCAGTTTCATGTTAAGTTGCTTATTGAGAGGCTTAACTCTCTAAGTGTTTCCAAACATAGCTCATATAACACACCAGAAGGAACTGCTAAAGATATGCCTTAAAAGGTCTTTGTCCTGTGTGTCAGGTGAAGAAGTTGCAAGGCCCAGGCGTTCCACCCCAACTCCAGAACTTACAAGGTGAGCATGGAAGATCCTTGTTTTACTCATCATGGACTTGTAACTGTTAAGCAAATATCCTTCAGGGCATGTGAATAAAGGGCCATGTGAATGAAGGGCCACGTGAATGTGTGTGAGTTCATATATCTACATCATTGACCAAATTTGTTGTCATTGCTTACACATGCAGCCCAAAGAGGAACTTTTGGGTAAATGCCTGCATTTGTCTATGGCAGAATATATGGTTTACTCACTGATAAGAAGACTAGAGTTCTGTATAAAGTGGTTTTGGCTTCCAGAATGTTCATCTGAGATACATTGTATTGCCTTAAAAAAGAGAATTTGGATAGTTGCATATACTTTTTTGATACATTCCAACTTCCCAACCAAAAGAACCTTCTATTTTGTTCTCCTGGCCCCTACTACCCTGCCCCCATCACCACACAGACACACAAATTATTGTAATTCACAGTGTATTCTTTGAGTGAAGTATTATACAAATAGTTAATGTTTCCCATAATGATAGTTCTAATCCATTTCTTTAAAACTTGGATTCTTTGCCTTCTCATCCTCCACCTGCTTCTTCCCTGCATGACATGCTCACTCTCTCCAACCTTCCCCTGCATGACAAGCTCACAGAGATCATTAGGATCCCTGATGGGAACCAGGCCCAGAGAAAGAATGAAGACCATAAAATTGCAATGATCTGTCTAGATAGGTAGTCAGGCGGAAAATGAGATATCTCAATACTCTTGAGATGTGCTGATTGGGACATCACTAGTTTATTAACTAGGAGGGGCAAGATGAAATTAGAAACTGAGTGTCCCAGTTTATTTATTCCAACACAAACTTTCTGGGCACCACATATATAGCTCTGTTGATGGGAGATGTCATTCTGTATATGTTTCTCATACTGGTTAATAATAAAGCACTGTTGGCCAATAGGAAAGGAAGATAGGAGAGACTAGGAGACAAGGAGGAAATAGGAAGTAGTAAGGAGGAGCCAAGATGGAGAGTCTGGAGAGAGCAGTATGCGGCAGTCGGCTCCGGGTAAGAAGACCACGTGGAAATACATAGATTAACACAAATGGGTTAATACTTAAGACAGAGCTAGCCGATAAGAAAGTAGTAACTGGCCAACAGTATAATATCAAATACAGAGTCTCTGTGTGTTAATTGGGGCTGGCATGGCGGCAGGACAAGACCAGCGGCGGCAGGCGGAAAAACCTGTACTCCTTACACTCTGTGCTTGACTTTCTCGTTAAACTGCATTAATTACAAGAAATAAGCTAGTGCCTTGGTTAGGGTTTCTATTTCAGTGGTAAAATACCGTGACCACACACAGCTCAAGGAGGAAAAGGTTTGTAAGTCTCAGGTCACGGTCCATCTTCAAAGGAAGTCAAAGCAGGAATCTGGAGGCAGAAGCTGTTATGGAAGCCATGAAGAGTGCTGTTTATTGGCTTGTTCCCCGTGGCTTGCTCAGTCTGATTCTTACAGGATCCAAGATCACCACCAGCCTAGGGGTGGAACCACCCACCATGGGCTGGGCCCTCCCCCATCAACCATCAATCAAGAAAATGCTCCCATAAACTTGCCTGCAGACCAATCTTATAAGGACGCTTTCTCAGTTAAGATCTTTCTTAACCAGATGATCCAAGATTACATCAAGTTGACCTAAAAACTAATCAGCACAAGCAACTGCAGGTGCAGATTTTTAGGCAGATCATGTTGGCACACATCTGTAGCTCGGCACATGGGGCATGTCAAAGGCATAAGGATCATGAATTTTAAGACAGCCCAGGCTTTATATGAAGCTGTCTTAAAACCATTTAAAGCAAATATATGTAGTTTTTTAGTTTGTGTGACAGAAAGGTGCTTTGTAATAAACTGGCATCTCTAATACATCACTTCTATGTATAGAGACTTACCATGTGTTTCTGTTGTGACTATGGCCGAGGCCTCTATTCGACCTCAGGGTCTTATCTCCCACCATGACCCTTTCCCATGTGACACCTTCATGAGATGCTTTCTAAGTCCAACAGAAGCTTTGTACACACTTGTGCACACCTAGTGCATGAGTGCTTGTTTAAGCAAGGAGAGTATATGAGAGTTTGTGTATAGTTTTGAGCATTGATTTTTGGTTTTTCTCTCTGTATATTCTGTCTAAAATGCATGCTTTAGCAAGAAGCCTCCAGATGATACGCTGGCCCTTGCTCCTCTCTTTGGTCCACCGTTAGAATCAGCTTTTGATGAACAGAAGACAGAAGGTAAGGAACTGTGTGTCTTCTACAGCACTGCTGTGGAGTTACTTCTCTTGAGTAAATGTATGTGAGCGTGTATTGTGAACATTCCATCAGATCCTCATGGTGGGAAAACGCTCCAAGTGAAGTGTGCTGCGAGTTTAGTTGAAAAACATCTATTATTTTATGGTTTAAAATTTTATTCCCACAATGGCTAACAAGTTCACTCCTGAAAATAGGCCAGGAAAAGCACATGCTGATCTCCACCAAGCCTGATGAGGGTAAATGAACTCTGAGCCCAAGAGCTGCTGTGAGAAGTGTGGGCAGGAGTATAAATTCAGAGTGGTCTTCTCATGCTCAATAGTGAGGCCGCTCTGTGGCCATTGGCTCTTTTCCAGCTCATGGGGGCAGTATCAGTGGGATGGTGTACAGGTCTGCTAAGACCCAGAAGCATCGACAAACGTTTAGCAATGCTATAAGAGAAATACCTTCATTTCTGCCAATAGCCTACTAAATATTTATTCTACAATTCAATATTTAAGTGTTTAAAACTCACCATGTTTTTGAAGGGCTTAAATTGTGTATGTCTTGTTGATATAAAGCACCCCTTTAAAACGGGGATCTATTCTATATTTGAATTGTATTTATACCCAACTCATATATTTCCAATAAGTGTGTCTGATATTATTGAATTTCATTATAAAAAATTGTTTAACTAAGCTGGGTGGTGGCGGCACACACCTTTAATCCCAGCTCTTGGGAGGCAGAGGCAGATAGATCTCTGTGAGTTCAAGACCAGCCTGGTCTACAAAGCTACACAGAGAAACCCTGGCTCAACACCCCCCCTCAAAAAAATCGTTTGACTTAAAAACTCTACATTGGGGCTGAACATTATGGAAATATGGTTAAGAGCATGCACTGCTCTTGCAGAGGTCCCAAGTTTAGTTCCCAGTACCCACATTGAAAAGCCCACCACTGCCTGTAACTCTAGCTCCAGGGGATCCAACCAACTCCAGTGGCACCTGCACTCACATGCATGTGCCCATAGACAGACACATATATACACATATTTAAAAATACTGTCTTTAAAAAAATGAACTCTAAACTATATTTTTAATAAGATGGTAACTTTCTAGGCCCCAATGGAGAATGTCCTTAGCACTTACATAATAAGCTGGGCATAGTGGTGTGTGTACACCTTTTAGCACTTGGGAGGCAGAGACAAGCAGATCTCTGTGAGCTCAAGGCTAGCCTGATCTACAGAGTGAGTTCCAGGACAAGTGGGGCTACATAGTGAGAATCTGTCTTAAAAACAAAGACGTACATAACAACTAGACAAGAAGACTGAACTAAAATAAAAGAGGGCTTTCAAAGTACAGTAATGGAGACAGGATTTTATTTCTTGGTAGCATTATAGATAGAGCTAAACCTGGGAGGGTGGTGGGGCCACCCTTTAGTCCTCACTGGTCACTGGTTACCTCCATCTCAGAGTGCAAGGACTTGCTCCAGGTCTTATCCCTTCCAGAAGAAAAGCAGTGGATGAAGCCACAGAACTCACTGATACCTGTTACAAGTGCAAACTCGAGAAAACACTCACATCTCTTTTAACCAAAGTGCACTGCAGAGAATTCAGTGTGATGTGACCAGATAAAATTTCTTTTCTATGAAGAATGGCTCAGGAGCAACCAGCTGCACAGGGATGCTTTCAATGAGAATAGAGGGGATTTTTGTTTTGTTTGTCTTGTTTTTAAAATCCAGGTGGTCCCCATGGAAGTAACGCTGTTCCCAGCACAGGGCTTAGACTTGCATGGAGAACTGTAACATAGGAAACCATCCATCTGGACTCACTGATGAGTGTTGTTTGACTGTCCTCCTAGCTTTAGCCACTGAAGTTTGGCAAAGTTCTGACATTTGCACCAACCACACCAGCCCTTCCCCTGGCCACGCCTCTCTTTCCAATCTGCTCGTTCTTATTTCTATAGGTTGATTGTTCTATGATTGTTTGCGTAGAAGACCTAGGAGGGGAAAGTGTGTGGCTTGGAAAGATCTGTGCTTGCATCTGGTCTCAGCTCTCTACTTTTTCCACAGACAAGTATTTGAGAACACTAGCCATTGTTTTTCTCTCCTCAAAATGGCATTGACTTTTAGCACATGGTGATGCTGTGAGAATGAAATACAAAATAACAGCTATTGGCCTTAGATGAGTGTTTTATGTTCATAATTTGTATATGCATGTATTTGTACCCCCACTAATAACTTTATTCCTCTCGGTTACTTCTGGAGTTATTATTTCCCCCTTTCTGCTTCAGGGGGAAAGCTCAGAGAGGTTAAATGGCTTGCCCAGAATTCTACAGTAAGCTAGAAGCTACATTGAAATCCACATCCAACCTACTTTCCCGACTGCACACTGAATAGCAATGCACTTACTTAAAAGGACTGGTTATTTACACATGAACAGTAACAACCAAAACATCATAACAAAAAGAAAAACAATGTTAAATTCAGTGCTCTTAGACCAATACTCCCTTGCCTTGATTTGCTTCATATATCTAAAGAACTATTTGATTTCTGGTTCCTGGGCTGGAGAGATGGCTCAGTAGCTAAGAGCACTGGCTGCTTTTCCATGGGACCTGGGTTCAATTCCAAGCACTGACAAGGCAGCTCGCAATCATCTATAACTTCAGTTCCAGAGTATCTAACTCCTTCTGGCCTCATCAGACACCAGCCATGCACATGGTACACAGACATACATGAAGGCAAAACACCCATATACATAAAATAAAATAATTTAATTTTCTGGTTCTCTTTAAAATGTTCAAGCATCTTTAGAATAACCATCCCCCCTTAGGATGCTGTAAAGGGTTAAGAGACTGAACAATCTTTAAAAGCAGGAACCGCTGCACAGAATCCAGACATTTTCAACACTGGAGCATATTCATAGAAGTCTTTAAATATACCGACTAACAACAAAATAAATGTTCTCAAATTAGTTCCTGAAATGTCTGAATAGTACAGAAATGGGGACATTATGTGTAGTGGCATCCAAATGTCCTTAGGTGACCAGACAGGAAGAAAGTGTGGGTTAGAGTTGGATTCTCCTTTGCTTGGCTCTGTGTCCATACACAGGCGCCCCCTCGCTCCCAACCCACCATATTTCTGGTTCTGTCCTCTGCCTGAAGAGTGCGTGGCTCAGCACACTCCTAAATTAAACTTCTAGGACGATGCAGGGTGTGGGATCGTGTTGCAAAGCTCGACTTCAATCAGTGTTCTAAATTCTTATTTGAATTTACTTGAGGAATTGTTTTTATGTTTCCAGTTCTTTTAGATCAGCCTGAGATATGGGGTTCGGGCCAACCAATTAACCCAAGCATGGAGTCACCGAAGCTAGCAAGACCTTTCCCCACTGGAAGTAAGTTCATGTGTCTGACTCATTTCACTACCTGTCTGCATAGTACAATTTTCGGCAACTGTTAGAAGACCTGGGTAGATAATATTTGAATTTAAAGAAACGAGATTATACTCTAACAGTCTAGGTCAGGTTTCCTAAGCTGGAGTGAAATAAAAATTAAGCAGTATTGTTAGCATTGAGGCTGATATCTTACATGATCTTTTGTCCATCCATTCCTCTCATATGACTATGTACAAGTCAGAAGTTGAGCTGAAGGCACTGGACAACCACACAACACAAGCACTGAGCAAGTCCAGCTGCGTCTCTGCTGGTCCCAGTCAACAACTGGGACTACACAGGACAGAAAGGACCCATAGACAGGAAAGATGACCTGGAAAGCAAGACAAGCAAGTTCTCTAGCAGAGACACTACAATGAAAGCAAGACAAATGTATGGCAATGCTCCTGGTTTCAACCAAGGTGATGGGACAGGGTCCTGAAAGACCTTGTCAATTCCTCACCTCTGGTGAGTTGGACTAGCTTGGCTGATTGGGTTAGTCACTAGGTCAAGTCAGTCATCCCTGGGCTCTCTAACTTCACGCCTACCTGGCTCATCTGATCTTAGGATAGGAATTATGGGCCCACACTCAGATTCCCAGGGAGCAAGGGCTCATGACAATCGTGTAAACTCTTGAATCTATCAGACATGACAGGTGAAAAAAAAATTTAAAGAAAAAAATTTATCTGTTGAAAGAATAATTTCTAATTTAATCTACAAAATGAGAAACCCTACCCATTAGGGCAAATTTTTTGGTAGGGGCGAAAATGTTGCACTTTTTTATCTTAGAATCTTATTTCCTGTAGTTTGGAAAGAACGACGCCCAAATTCCCAAATATTGTGTATAAATGTTTGTTTTCATTTAATTGGACTTTGTTATATAAAATTAAATAAAAAAAAAGAATCTTATTTCCTAAAAGGTTTATTGGGAATGTCTGTTCTTTGGCCCATGACTTCACTCCTGATTTCCTAAGGCATGCTCTCTTAGCGTTCCTATTGCTGTGAAGCGCCACCTTGACCACAGCAATTCTTATAAAGGAAAACCTTTGGTTGGGTTAGCAGTTTCGGAGGTTTAGTCCAGTGTCATTACAACAGGAAGCATCACCTAGGAGTATGGCGGCATGCAGGCAAATATGGGCTGAGAAACACTACTACGTCTTGATCCAAAGGCAAAAGGAAGTCGACCCAGACACTGGGCCACTGGTCATGTCTTGAGCACAGGAGACCACAAAGCCCACCCCCCACAGTGACACACTTCCTCAAGGAAGGCCACACCTACTCCAACGAAGCCACACCTTCCAATAATGCTATTCCCTGTGAGATTATGGGAACCTGTTATACTCAAACTACCACACACGCTAAGAGTTTAAAAGCACAGTATTGCAAAATCTGCCCAGATACAATTTAGGCAACGTTACCCATACTAAATTTAAAACCCCTCCCTGCAAACCCCCTTAGGACTATTCTGTGTGTTACCAGGATTCATGATCAATCACTATTCCTCCAGAACATAGCCAGTGTTTATTCAACACAGTGCCCCTTGCTTCTAGTAAAGAAATTGAATTTAGCTGTGACTTGATGCTTGTTGAATGAATAAAATGTTGATATTGTGGTTATCTGACCTTTTGCTAAACCCCTATTTGAAGCAATCTGAATGCTTCTGTCTCTGGGAGTCCTAGTTAGGGTTATCATTGCTGTGATCAGACACTGAGCAAAGGCAACTTGGGCATAATAAAGGGGTTTATTTGGCTTACATATCACAGTTCATTGAGGGAAGCCAAGGAATGAACTCAAGCAGGGCAGGAACTTGGAGACAGGAGCTGATGCAGAGGCCATGGAGGAGTGTTGCTTACTGGCTTGCTTCCCTTGGCTTGCTCAGCCTGATTTCTTACAGCATCCAGGACCACCAGTTCAGGGGTGGCTCCACCCACAATGAGCTGGACCCTCCTATGTCAATCATTAATTTTGAAAATGCTCTACAAGCTTGCCTGCAATTCTATCTCATGGAAGCATTTTCTCAACTAGGGTTCCCTCCTCCTCAAAGACTCCAGCTTGTATCAAAGTTGACATAAAATTAGCCAGCACATTTGGCCCTGCAATTTCAGAAGTGGAGACCGCGGCTGCCCCATTTCCAAGACTAGGTGTGAACAGAAGCCTGGGCCGTGCTTCTCCGTCCTGGTTGTGTTACCCGGGAAGAATGTGACCGCTGACACTTTACCTCTCTCTTTGCAGCACCTCCACCTCCGCCTCCAAAACCTGTACCAGCCACACCACCTCCAACAGGCTCGCCCTTAACAGTTGCAACAGGTAAACTGGGCTTTTACAGTCCTGAGAGGATGTGGCAAATATGTCCATGGCCTTGGACGACAACATGCCCTTGATGCTTTGGGAAGCCGAGGCTGTGCTCACATGCACAGTGCTGGTGTTGGGTTTCAGTATTACTGCAGCTTACTGTGCTGACTTACTGTAAGGTACACTCCCAGGTTTCACACAGACATACACGGGTTTTTTGTTTGTTTGTTTGTTTGTTTGTTTTTAGCAGAATTTTATATAACGGGAGCTTTACTGGTTATAGAGTAGAATAAAGTAGCCGTAAAATGAAAAGTCAACTGTTTACTCAACCTCTCCCTTGGTTGGCTCTCATTTGAATGACTTGAAAATAAATAGTCTCACAGTGCAATTTGTATCTTTCAAGAGCCAATAGGCAGTCTGGTAGAACTAAGGCTGACTGCTTAGGATATAAAAGCTTGAAGTAGGTCCCAGAAGGAGAGTAACCTGTTGGGGGGATTATTCTCCCCAGCGGTCATCCAAATATTTAATCATTTCACTGCAAAGGCTGTGGTAATAATTATAAAATATGGCCAGGAATTGCTGTAAACTATTTTAGACATATCATTTATGAGACACAGCTTTTCCTTTCTATTAAAATCAATACCGTGCATTCACAACAATTTATAAACTGCCAGGTCTTATTGGACAAGCAATTCAAATGTGGTAATGGTGGTTTTATTTACCTGAGCCCTAGAATGTGGCTCTTTATCACCTCTGGAGTCCTTTATGCCTGGTTGCCGCTACAGCCTGCTGAGTTTAACAGAGATGAAGTGGGATATTTGTCAGAAAAATAGAAAGTTAGGTGCAATCATTTATGATAATCCATACTGACTCAATCCCAATAGAGAGCCACCAAAAGCATCATAAGTAAGGTATTTTCAGCATCAGTTGTTTGGAGACCCTGTGTCTCCATAAATTGTATTAGCTGCAAATAAATCTAGAAGCCATAAAATCATAATTTATTGTCAGTCATGCAAGAGTCTACATTTATCTGTGGCTTTGCTGCCTTGGAAATTAACTCCTTTCCAATCAGAAATATGGAACTACCAAGCCTGTTTTTATAGCCTGTGTCATTTACAAGTAAGGTGAGGTATGGAGGTATGGCTGTGCAGCAATTTCTAGTTTCAATAACCTCATTGTTGCTTTAAAAGAAAAAAAATGACTATTTTCCAATTTGTAATCATTAAATATTTTATACTTCACTAAAGGTATGTGTAGAAAAGAATACACTGCTGATGTTTAAGCAAAATGAAATTTTCTTCAGAAAAAAATTACATTGCAGTCACTACTAGCATATTAACATGCTCTGCTTGGTGAGAAAAGAAATTCTAAAGATGTTTTCATGATTTTCCTTGTTACACAGAGTTCCATATAACATTTCTAATCAGTAACAAATGCCTTGCTGTGTCCCCTATGTGTGTTGTGTATGCTGTATGTTATATGTGTTTGAACACATTTGTGTGGGGTTATCTTCTTAATAATCTTGTTGTGTTTCTGGTGTACTTAAAGTAAATCTATAGCTAAATGTGATGTCCTATTTTTTTTTCAATTACCAGAAATTATCATTAGTTCTCCCAAACGTTCTGTTTAACTGCCTAGACTGGAGAAGCTCTGTAAAGATGAACTCAGGGCTCAAATCTTGTGCTGTGTTCTGTGTATTCAGCAGGCCAGATTTTCAAGACTGTCCTCCCTTTGGGTAGTTGCCCTTCCAGAGCCCTAAGTGACCCTGCTACTATATTTTCACTGCTGCTCCACTAGAGGGCAGTACTGTGCTCAACACTCTACCACAGTCACCTTACATAGAAATACGAGTCAAGTATTGAAGTTAGCGCCTTACCCTCTTCCTTTAGTGATTAATTCAGTAAAGTTATTTCCACACCATGAATGATGCCCATTGAGGCATCATCTTACATGCTACAGTATGCTTGTTAAGCTTTCCCTCTACCCTCTTCTAGCTCCTATCTATACAAGTAATAGTAAGAGTTAATAAAAATTTAAAATCAACTACTTTGACCACAGGAAATGACCAGGCAGCCACAGAGGCCAAAATTGAGAAACTACCATCCATCAGTGACCTGGACAGCATTTTTGGCCCAGTGTTGTCCCCCAAGTCTGTTGCTGTTAATACTGAAGAGAAGTGGGTCCATTTCTCTGATGCATCCCCGGAACATATTACTCCAGAGTTGACTCCAAGGGAAAAGGTGGTGACCCCACCAGCTGCATCAGACATCCCAGCTGACTCCCCAGCTCCAGGCCCAGCTGGCCCCCCAGGCTCTGCAGGTCCCCCAGGGCCTGCTGGTCCTCGCAATGTACCATCTCCGCTCAATTTAGAAGAAGTGCAGAAGAAAGTTGCTGAGCAGACCTTCATTAAAGATGATTACTTAGAAACGCTCTCCTCTCCTAAAGAGTGTGGGTTGGGACAGAGAGCAACTCCACCTCCCCCACCACCACCCACCTACAGGACTGTGGTTTCGTCCCCCGGACCCGGCTCGGGCAGTGGTACGGGGACCACCAGTGGTATGTCTTCCTGTTTGAGTGTGCTTCGTGTGCTAGGGAATGGCTGTAGCTGCTGCAATGTGCGAACACCCTCCTCCTGCCTGGCAACTGGCTGTAGGGCTTCTGCCATTCCTCCTCCGGTCTGGTGTCCTGTGGCCCTGTGGCATGTTCTAGTCCATTGAATGCTCCAGTCATAGTCCAAGTCTGTGGATGTGTCTTGTTCTGCACTCCCAGCCCTGACTTGTTCCCTACAGTTAGAAGGTATGGGTGGTGGGGCTGCTATTTGTTTCTTATAAAGAGAGCTGTGATGTCATTGTTTAGAATTCCAGAAAGTTCTAGAAGGATAAATGTCACAGCAAGTAGATTACAGGTTAACTGATTTCTTTTTAGTTTTCTTTTTTTTCTCCCACCCCCACCCCATAAGATACCTCCCAAGGGCCCTACAGTTTATAAGTCAAAGTGTGGGGGAGGATCCTGAGGTTTAATCCTGAGAACAACCATTGGATGTGTTATCATGCTTCCATTGTACCTGAGCCACCTGATTAGGTCTCTGATATCAGTGTTGGACATTCCTCAGGCCCTATGCCACCTCCAGGTAGAGTGACAGGCAGTGGGACTTAGGACGCAAGTTCTCCTGTTGAATTCTTTTTTCATCTTTATTTGAAACTGCATTTTGTATTTTCTAATTACATGCAGAATAAGAACACTTGCCATGCATGTCAAATACCGAGGTTTTCCCACACCACTTACTCCAGTGTGGCTCAGTCACCTGGCCAGAGGCACAGTGTCCCTTTTCTCTGCATGCAGGTTCAGCTTCAACATCTTCCAGGAGGTCGTGGGTGCCACTTTGATATTTGCCTGGAAAGAGGCCACCAAGTTTGTGGGACTTAGATCTAGGAAGTCACAGAGGGGAAAGGCATTTGCCTCCATCCTGATCCCTTCACAGCAGCCTCCTTACAGAGTCTCCCAAAGCTGTCACTTTGTCAGCAAATGCAGCTGTGCTCTGTAAAGTGAAAGATTCTGAGGACATCAGAGTAGCCTGTGTTAACTGTGTGTGCAGCCCAGCTCCTCTACAAAGGAACACAATCAAGACTTAAGTCTGGGGAGCAGAGCAGTAAACAGAACCAGCCAACATCTTTGCCATAAGAACCTTGAGAACTTTTATTTTCCAATAATAGCAACTAAATGTATTACTTCAACCTCGAAACAACCTCCCCACTTTAGTATTAAAATGCCCGTATTTTACAGAGGCCAAAAAACAAAAACTATTTAGCGGTTTCAGACTTGGCATTTGGACACTCAGACTGCATCCAGCCTTGTGCTGTACTCCTGACCACCGACCGTGTTCTTCGGGTACTTCTGAAAAGTTTGCTCACATAGGCTGATCTCACTTTACTGCTAACATTCACCTGTGCCCTATAGTGTTTGGCACTCTCAAAGGTGTTCTTAAAAGACCCCACTCTGTGCTTCCCTCTGTAGTTCAAGAAGGCTAGGGCAGCTGCTCCTGTAAGGTCTTGTCTGGGATACAAAGCTATGTGCTTACCTACAAAGAGAGTGAAGAACCCTCTTGAACAGCAACCCTGAAGAAGCCAGCTGTCAATCTAAAAGAAGGGTGTGCCTCCATCATTTCCTGACATGCTCTCATTTCTGGGCCAGGTCCTTAGGGTTATGAAAGGATATTTCAAGACGTAGTCACCAACAGCCCATGGTGGGACGTCAGTCAGGCACTCCTCGAAGCAAACGCCGACAGTCAGGGAAGACAGGGCAAGTTTGATCTTCACCTGTGTCCTCCCTTACCTGTCACCTGTCATATTTAAGTTACCTGGCTACTGAGTTTGGGCAGAAGAGATGCTCTTCTTTTTTGTTCTGGAATGTCTGAGAGGCTGGGTACTATTTCAGTGTTTAACTTTCATGCCCTTATTTGAATTTAACTTTTCAAATATTACCAATAGAGACTCTTAATTGTTGTTAATTGAGCTAGAGAAAGCTACATTCACTTGCATTAAGGGGTTGGATTTATAAGTGGAAGACAGAACTTGGCTAGTGAAACCCATGAATAAATGAAACTTTATACCATTATCTTATTAATTAAGTTCCAGTTAATGTGTGATTTCATCTAGTATTGATGGAAGATAGACAAACTGTCCAAAATGAAAATTTAGGATCTCAACCTTTGGATGTTTGAATTCTGCTCTTCATGACTCTTAGCCTGGCCAGCTTTTCCTAGACATCTCAAAGTATGTGTGAACATATCCAGTATACCCCCAGCACAGGTGATTACTGCTGTGACAAATGACTCAACCCACAGCATGACACAGTACTTGCTGCTGAAACAGCTGGAATCTAAAAATTCGTGACTTAACAGAAAGTTCCTAAGGCTCAGCTAAGTATGACTTCTCTGAAATGCATGCAGGTGCTGATCCTTAGTGTCTATTCGGAGTGTGTGCCTGGGCGCAGGAAAAAACATGCTGCTAGCATACAGCAAGTGTAGAAGCCAGGAAAAGAGTTAGGTTCAGAGTAATATGTTCTAGCTCAGGAAACTAACATAACACTCAACTATATTATTCAAAATAACACACATAATGACTTTGAACAACCTGGGGTTCTCTCTTGGTTAGAGCTACCATTTCTGTGATGAAACACCATTACTAAAAGCAACTTGAGAAGGACAGGTTTATTTGGCTTACTCCTCATGACTTGCTCAGCCTGCTCCCTTATAGAACATAGGACAACCAGCACAGTGTGCCACCACCCGCAATGGGCTGGGCCATCCCACATCAATTACAAATTAAGAAAATGTTTTACAGGTCTCTCTAAGGTCCAATCTTATGGAGTCATCTTCTCAATTGCTGTTCCCTCCTCTCAGGTGACTATATCTGTGTCAGGATAACATAAAAGTATCCATAAGAGATTGAAATGACCAAATTAATTGCTGATCTTAGGGAAAGGGTGATTAGCTTCATCTGACAGACCAAAGAACAAAGGTCAAAGAGGTAATTTGGTCCTGGTCACAAACCTTTTGAGTAGTAGAACATGGATCTGCCGAAGAGCTATTGAGTTCCATGTCCTACACCTCTGCCACCTCCACTCAGATGCCTCCACTGTCTCCAGCCCATCCCATACACAGACACATAGGAAAGGACATGCAAATACACATGTGACCTTCAGAAACTGACAAGACTGCAGATTGAGAGCAGCAAATGGGCCAAGAGCAAGTCAAGGCTGTCAACACTTGTAGCTCATAATTTAAGCCTTAAACAATGGATTACCCAGTGTATCTCACATCATCCTTCTTGACAGTAAACACTACATGGTAAAAGGATGACTGAAAATCAGAGATGATAGAGATGTATAAATAAGTCTCTGCATCCATAACACCTGAAACCAGTGAACAATATCACAAAGGCATGTGGAGCATTAGTTCACTTGTTAGATGCTTATCGGGCCCTGCACATCCCCTGCTAGACCTTGCGGTTCTTCCCAGTAAAGATTAATCAATGTGTCTTTTAGTTTCTATACATTTCTTGACTATCTGTCTGCATAATCTATCACAATTCTATCACTTTGATAAGAATAATGTGACATAAGTAAGGAGTCTATAAAGGAAAGTAATTACTTTTCAACTAATAACATTTTTCTTTTGCTTTTACCTATACCTGCATCAAAAGACAGTCCTTAGCACCCTCTTCAGTATCAGTTGCCTTGTGTTATACAGCATCATTTTGGGTTTTTATCAGTACCTGTAGTAGCCATCTGTAGTAGCCCCATGCTGAGGTGCCAATCTGTATTAACCAGTGTTTGTGCCTGAGAAGGGGAACTGTGGATTGAGAAATGGAAGGTAAAGATACTAAGTAAGAGAAAGAGATGACACAGAATAGAGTCAGGAGGACAATCCAGTGAATACTGAACACACCAAGTTTATTCTTCAACATTCTTAAATACGCCAACCAAAAAGGGGAAAATGGCAAGACTTCTTTATCAAGATGCAAGAAAGAAACAGACTTTCTTCCTTAATTCTCCAAACGGTTAGTAAACATGCTTTAGACTAAATCTCTCATTATCTGGCCTTGACAAGGGTTAAGAGTAACCATACCTCAGACCAAGTTTCTTGTTAGATAAGACATCCATGACCAAAACCAAACATCCTGCAGTAGCCACACCCTAGGCCTTTAAGTCTTCTGGCATTAATCTTGGAAGAATAATGATAGCTTTGACCTCTCTGACTTTAAGCTTAGATGAAGGGAAGCCATTTTATGGACCCCCAACAAGTACTTTTGTAAGGTAGAACATTTCTAACTTTTTGAGACACAAAAGCTGAGTTTCAGAGAGGTAAAGATCCCACTCAGCTGAAAAAAGGGCGCTGGGGCCAAAACTCAGCCTTTCGGCCAATCATATTTCCCTGGAGACAGTCCTCAGCCCAAACATTACTGGGAGTCTTGAATTTCTCTTCTGAAGCTAATGTTTGCCTGAGCTTGATTCAGAAGACTATAGGCCCATGAGCAAACATTTTGGACCACTCCTATAGCAAGATAGTACTAAAGTTGAATGAAACACCCCTGTACACCCCCCCCCAAAATGCCATGAAAACTTCCTGACAAAGCTCTACTGTTTAAGAACGTATTTCCCATCTCTATATGGTCACATCTATGCTTTAGAAATATACTGGGCATAACATATACTTAATACTCAAAAGAAACTTTGTAGTGGGCCTGTCAATCATATTTTGTTTTTAACAAGAATGTGAGCCAAAAACTAAGGACATTTAGATTACAAAAGATGTGTTCAAGCTGTCAAGGTGGGATTAAAAATATACTGTATGCAAATTGTGGCAGTCCACAGTCCATCTGAAGCCTCGAGAGACATATATGCTTTGATATTTAACAAACTATTTATGCTTTGTGGTCACGGATGTGCCACTAAAAGAACTTCCATCTTCACTGAACTGCACACAGTATCTACTCTAAAGACTAAGCAGGAGGATGATGTCACACATATAAAGTACTAGCATAGATCCTGGTGCAGTAAAACAAAGTAAGAGTAGAATGAAAGGGGGAAAAAAAGACAGTTGGTGGTACTAGCAGAGGCACAGGAGGATGTCTAGGAGGGGCAGTAACAATGGCTCCATACTTAGGAGGTATAAAAGAGAGACCACTCAAGATTTCATTCTTTAAACAAGAGAAGCAAAGCTCACTGTCAGAGACTCTCTTAGGATGAGAAGTGATTCTGAGATGGGTTTAGCTTCTCAGATTCAGAGCTCTTTGGGAATCTCAAAATCTGTACTGAGGTGCTGGTCTAGGACTCTATCGGTCTTGGTTTTATGTTTTACTATGTAAAGGAAGTAGCTGAAGGGGTGGGCATATGGATGTGGGGATGGGTGCTTATAGAGGCAGCTAGTGGGATGAGGGATGTGGAGGTGGCAGTGTGTGGCAGCAGCTGGTGGAATGGGGAATGTGGAAGCAGGGACATGTGGGGATAGCTGGTACAACAGGGGACATGTGGAGATAGATAGCTAGTAGGGCAGGGGACACCCAGAGGCACCTGGGGGAGGAGTGTGGAGGCAGGGCAGTATGTTTCTGAAGCATGATTTTACAGCCTGCTTTTTTCTAACCAAGACAAGAACTGTCTGGACATCAATTTCACCTCCTAAAGTTTGAGGCCAGGTAGTTCTTTCTATGCATCCTGGACTTATGACTGAAGGCAAACGGATCCCTGAGCGCTGAGCTCAGTGTGCATGCCAGCCTCTGTGTACCATCTGTGTTTCATATGCTTGTCATGGACAGCCAAAAAAGTAAATCCAAGAGGCTTTTTCAAAACCACCAAAGAGACCGTCAGTAACAAACCCTACTTTAGCCGGCTCCCAAGGATGCTCCTGTCAAAGCCCTCACTGTGTTTCCTTTATAAAGAGTCAACACACAAAGGACTAGTGACCTGTAGTTTCATGTCCTTTGCTCACACTATGTATTTGAGAAAGGGATGAAGTTAGCACTCATGAGTTGACACAGTCAACATATTAATTCTCTTACCTGTATTTAAAAATGAAAAATCTAATGTGGAAATAACATTCATCTTCCTTCAAATTTCAACTTCCAGTTTTATTTTAGACATAAATTCTGAATGTAAATTTAAAAAAAAAAAAAACCAAGAAACTGTATCGTAAGTCCCATGTGTACTTGGCCAAAATGAACCACCCCTACTGCCCTGCCAAGAGTCACCTGAATTCACCTTCCATCAAGGATTTACCTTTCATTGGATGTCACATGACAGCAAGGTGATGAGCTTCAGCTTCTGCCATCAACCATAGTTCAACTGAGAACCTTTTTTCTTTATTGAAAGAAAAAGAAAAAACATGCTGTGCAAAAAGATTTAGTGTAGTAACTGCAAAGAAAAAGACTGCCTGGCATCTGTGGCAGGCATTGCTCTGTGCTGATGCATTCCAGCCAGCTTGTTTCCTGCCCTCTCTAACACCAGCCTGTTTTCCAGGTGCATCATCTCCTGCGAGACCAGCGACTCCCTTAATCCCTTGCTGCAGTACCACTCCACCTCCGCCTCCTCCCCGGCCTCCATCCCGGCCAAAGCTACCCCCAGGGAAGCCTGGAGTTGGAGATGTGGTATGTTTCTCTCTGCCTTAGCATGCTCAGAACAAGATCCCCAAGTCCCCTAACATGGACATCTTGACTTCAGGTCTAAGCATGACAGCATAAGTGACCATCACAGGGGCCAGCTGATAAGCAGTCGCTGCTGTGTGAGAATGTCTTTCAAGCCGCCTCATGTTTCTCCCAGTTTCCAAGCAAAGGTCTAAAATGGTAGGAATCTGGTGCCTAGGCCAGTGATGGTCCATCGAGTGAATCTTCAGAAGCAGGGGAGGGGGGGGAGTATTATTCTTTTACAGTATTTGTCTTAGTTACTGGAAAGCTCTAAGAAAAATTCTGCTTTCTGGCCCTAGAAACCTGATAAATCAGCAGCAGAAATTCAGCAATATGAATATAGAGTGGAGGCCTCTAAGTGTACTACCAACCTTTCCTTAAATTTTATTCTAAGATTGATGTGTAGGAATGGTCTTCTCGGTGGTTCAATTAAGAAGGTTGTGGCAGAAGTAAATCTCATTGACCCCTGTACAACAGCCACTGAATAAATGGCATCATAACATTCGGCTTCTGTCTTGAGACCTCTTTATGGGGGAGTATACCAGTGTAGTTCCTGGGAGACATGTAAATGGCTCGTCTAAGCCTACTGAGCTCATAGGCTGTGGTTTACCGCTGCTCCAGCTCCAGTACTCTGGTTTTGTGTAAGTGCGGTCCAGTTCAGTGAAAATGGTACCTTGGCCATCAAGAACCTGAGTTCTCATATCCAGGGCCAAGATCCAAGAAAGGTACTGAAACCAGAGATGGCGAGATGGCTCAGCAGTGTAGGCACTTGCTGCCAAAACCTGATTTCAGTCTCTGTGGCCCATATAGTGGAATGTTGTCATTTGACGCTCGTGTGCTCTCTGTGGCATGTACACACACACGAACACAAAGAAAATGTAAGCGTTTGAAAATGCTGGGACAAAGTATTATGGCTGTGTCTAACTTGCATCTTTCTTCTCTCTACAGTCCAGGCCTTTTAGCCCACCCATACACTCTTCCAGCCCTCCTCCGATAGCACCCTTAGCACGGGCTGAGAGCACCTCCTCAATATCGTCGACTAACTCCTTGAGTGCAGCCACCACTCCCACCGTTGGTAAACTGACCTCTCCTTTCATGTGTCTGTGGCTGTTGACTGGCTGTCCTTTGTGATCTCGGCTCCCTGGGCCCTGTTTCTAGTAGCAACTGTTCTGCTGTGTGTTTGCTATGATCATCTGGTTCTTCTCTCAAAAGCACTTTCTCAGCTAAGGAGGCCAGTGCTTTAGATTAACCACTGACGGAATGTGGAAGTGCATGTGTGTTTTGTAGGGATTTCCTTACATTGTCCCATGCAGAGCAACTCACAAAAGAAGTTACCAAGGGAGATACTAATATTTGGATAGTTCTTGTAAAAGGCATTCTCCTTGGAGAGGAAATGTTTAGATCAGAATTTTTTTTTTTTTAATCTTGGGATGTTAGCTGTTTTGAAACTTTCAATTCTTCATCATTGTTTGGTTGTCTGAGGTTGGCAAATGTAGGCATTGGCACTGAGATACTTGAGAAATTTTTTGAACATTTTTTCCCTAGTGGTCCATTTTCCCTGGAAGGGAGAAAGCAATCGTTTCCAGCAGATGTCCCTGTACCTCTCCCTCTCCGTATACACTGTGATAAAAGTGAAGGGTTGAGAATGGCCGCTCAGAGGGTGGTTCGCCACCACCACCTCCCATCCTCAACCCTGCCTCTCTCCTTTACTGCATGCTGCCTGACCTGCAGCTTTCCCATAACACTTTCCCTGTGTGACCCCACCCCACCCCCAGTCTCTGGACTGCTCTCCCGTTCTTCCATGCTATAAACCAGCTGGCCCATTCCACACTGCTTGGGAGAAATTTTCACCCAGCTCCTGCTGCTACTTATAGAGGAGCACACCATGCAGTCACCAAAGGCTCTCCTAGAGAACAGCTGCCCATTTTCTCCAGAACAAGTGATGGTGTGCCTCTCAGAACCACAAAGGGAATTTCAGCTCTGCCATATAATCTAAACTTTAAGCCATGTCATCCCCCACCCCCTACCCCCTGCCCCCCCCAACACACACATTCAAGTTTGGATTAAATTAATAAATTGAAAATGTAGCCACTTTTCCAGTTTCATGTGAATTCCTTCCTTTTGGTTTTTCAAGACAGTCCCATGTACCTCGAGCTCATGTAATTTCATAACAGATTTTTAACATTATTTATAAAGCCATATCTGTTCTTTTTCTGTATCAATTAGAATACTCCTGGACTTCCAGATTCCCAGTGTACAGAAGTATTAGCTCGTTCCTCTCTGATTCTTTGTTTTGTGATAGCTAGCCTTTTTTTTTACCCTCTATTGCCTTTAGTCTCCTTGATTTGGGTAGTCAGTTGCCCAAGTCCTATCCTACTGTTAGATTTTCCCAAGACCATTCATTCCACACACCCTCCATTTGATGTGCTTTGTTGGGCAAAGAAGGAAGTAAGAGTGAGTTGTCACTCAAAAGTGACCACACTCTACCTCAGATGGGCCACCCCGCGTGTTCTTTCAGCTCACTGTGATTCATGCACAAAACTGAACACACAGGGAATCTGAACTGTGTCCGTGCTTTTGGACACGTTTTTCTATACTTCCTGCAGCAGAAATCTCCAATTACAACCAGCAACATTGATCCTGATTATCCCTTGTGTGTGTCCTTTCAAGATGAACCACAGAGGGCTTGAAAAATGGAGCGATGTGGGAAGCTGGTCACAATGGCTCGTGCACAGGAGCACCCTCATCTGTTCATTTAGGTTCCCTTGTTTTGGTTTGGGTTTGTCTACCCACTGATGTCCTCGCCACCCGGTCTTTATTCTGTTCTGCTTCTGCTCACGTGACAGCCATTTCTCTCTGAAATAGCTCAGTTGCTGAACAACCAGCCAGCCTCATGTGTTGCTTGTTGTCTCTAGTTTTCTCCAAACATTCCGCCTTGCTTAAATTGACAACTCACTGTTAGCAAGTGAATTGGGAGAGGTTGAAACTCACAGCAAGTTCCTTAAGTGGTGGCTGAACAATCCCTTCCCACCTCCACACTTTTCTACCATCCCCTGTGACCTTTGGAGCAATTTCATGGGAACTGATGAACCAATCTCAAAGTCATACATGAACTAAGATTTTTTAAACTAGCCTGTGCTACATTTGGTAGTGCACCCTACGAGGCCAAAGCAGGGTGAATCACAAGCTCTTGGGCTACAGAGACCCTATCTCCAAAATCAAAATAATAGCAAATCAAAACTCTCTGTACAATAATTCATATAAGAAAATGCCCATAAAGAACTTTGAGTATGAATATTTTTATAAGAGCTATGATTTATAGAGTAGTGAACCCAATACAACATGAGAAGATAGAAGTTTCTGTGTGCCACTACCCTCAAATAATGAAGAGTTCTTACATAGCTATATTTTTTTAACTTAAATTCCTCGATTTTATAGATGACAAAGAAAGACAAAAGGCTTCCAAATGTGTCAGGGTACAACTTTTTTTTAACCATACTAATTGTGTTAAACCCCAATGTGAGAAGATGCACGTCTAGGATGAAGATGACTACTTTTGTGCTAGAGAATGCCCATAGGACCTGCACTATGTAATTCAGGGGAGGGAGAAATCTATTGATAGTAATGGAGTAAGGAAAGTGTTTGAAGTTATAAGAATCAGATGAGAGGTAGCAGAAGAGATAACGGCCTTATCTCTCCTTGTAAATCCCCCACTTGCTTCTTATTTCAGTGACTGTGAGAAGTCTTGTGTTTCTTTGCTTGTTTAGATGATGACAAGGCAGGCAGTTCTGCTTCCCTGTTAGTCGTAATCCTTCTTGGTATTGTACATTCTGATTTGCATCTTTAATGTGGCAGGAATCTGTAACAAGTGAAATGTAACCATCAATGGGTGACAAAATAAGCATCAGGTGTACTCTGATGTTTCCTTTGGTTCATAACTTGAGTAAAAGGGACTTGTTCTAAACAATGCAAATAAAATATGTCCTCCAATGTGGGGAGCAATTCCAAATTCTATAAATTGTCTAGGGGGATAATATTCATACCAACTTAGTCTGCGTAGAACTAAAAGATGCTATATTTTGTGAAACATCTGTATCTACTATATCCATTCAATGAAACAGGAGTTCCACTAAATCATTCCACCTCCATGGAAGCTGTAACTACAGTTAAATACTGACAAATAACATCCTGGAACCTGGGGATGGATAGATGAATAAGTGGTTGTGAGCACTGGCTAGATTTGATTTCCAGTATCTGCATGGCAGTTCATAACCATCTGTACATCTAGTTCCAGAGAATCCAAAGCCTACTTCTGGCCTTTGAGCTCACTAACATATATGTGCACAGATACACATGCAAGCAAAACATACATATAAAAATATATCAATGAACTGGTTAATTTACTTATTTTAAAAGGTGCTTGCTGCTCTTCTAGAAGGCCAAAGTTTAATTATAAGCAAACTTAGTTCATCAGATGGTGCACAACTATAATATCAAGTCCAGGGAATCCAGTGCCGTCTTCCAGTTCCTTGGGCTCCTCCCATATATGCACACACAGAGTCACACACAAACACACACGCATACACATTCATATACCTACTCACATACACACACACTTTTTTTCTTGAATCTTTGAACCAAAAGAATTAAAAAGAGTATCCCTGTCATATACCCTATGACTAGGCATCAAGTCATTAAAATGAGTTCCAAAAGCATCAGTGTTTATGTTCTTAATTTCTGTCCTTAACGTCCCTGCGACAAGGACAGTTTCTCCATTACTACTTTTATTTGATTATCTGTTAAAGTTGTGATAACACCTTTGAAACCTAAGGCGTTATTTTTTGATCATATAGAGTAAAAATACGGTCCCTTGTATTTGTTGTTTAGTGATGCGCCTGGGTAAAGATCTGAAATAGTTGAGGTTCAGTGTCTCAGCTCATAAAGTTGTGGCCAATTTCTAAAAATAAACATCTTGCTACAGTTGGAACCATGCTCAAAGATATCAGTATGATAACACTGTTCACAATTAGTAGTCTTTAACTATCAAAGGCGGGTACAAGTTAGTTAAAATGGCACAACGTGTGCAGGAACCCTGGATTTATACTGCTGTTAGTGGTCACATTAAACGATAACTCCTTTCTTCCTGGGGGAATATATGTGCCAGGTGATCTTGTTGAGTTGCCAGAGCTATGCTGAGGTTCTTGTTGATGAACATAGGCCTGGCCCCTTGAGAACTGCATTGGAGTGAAGTGTTCTCCCATAAGGAAAGCTGTGCCTTTCATGGCTCCCTGAGAAGGTGGGATCTAACTCCTTTCCTGAAGCCGACTCCCACCACATTGACAGATGCTAAAGCCTGGCTTTTGTTCCTTAGTCCAGTTTCTCTTCATAGAGTCATCTCAAATAAGTTCATCACTTTCCATATCTTCATCTTAATCCCAATGTCTTAAAGTCTTTCTTTTTTTCCCATGAAAGTCATTCCTGCCTCAACTGGTAAACTGTGCTTCTCAGTTTCATTTGGAATTTGTATTTGTGTTTTTTGTTTTCCATTTGTTTATGTTTCTTTGGTTTGTAGTGTCAGAAGATGATGTTTTTTATGACAAACTGCCCTCGTTTGAAAGGCGCTGTGACATGCCTGCAGGTATGGTGCTAGCTGGGTGATACCTAGATACTTAGAGTTTTCAAATCCAAGCCATTTTCCATCTGAATGCTAGAAGCTTCATGGACATGCTCCCCCACCTCATGAGTCCCAGTGCCTTTCAGATGCACCCTGTCCATGTACTGTCCATCATGGAACTCATGCCACTGAACCGATTTTAAGTGGACATACTGTAAAACAGCAGGTTGCATGACAGTTTCTCAGAGAAAAGGCTCAAACCAGGTGAGATGCCATTGCTGTGTGAATTGCAGAGGAAGAAATAACTAATGTACTCAGAGTCTGTTGATTGCTTTCCAATTTACACCTTATTGAAGCACCACTGGAAATCTTCTCTTTGGTACCGAAGGAAAGGGTGTGTTGTGACTGGATGCCCAAGGTGACTCCAGCAGAGGGATGGGACACCTTTGACATCGTCTGTGAACTTGAAATTGATATGCAGTGCTGTTGTCATTGAAAAGCTAAGCAAATGTTGCATAGACACCTCAACCCCAAGTTGTGCCGACAAGCAAGGGGAAGACATGGACAACAAAAAGGATGCAGCAATTGCTGAATGACAGTTTTGCCCAAATTAATGCAGTTGAAATACGCTAATAACCCTGCATGGCCAGGAAGACATCTGCTCCATGCATACAAGTGCCTAGCCTCAAGCTACCTACACGGGTGTCCATCCCTTCAGTCTCCATAGCTTTGATTTTGCCTTGTTTGCTCAATTAAAAACAAAAACAAAACAAAACAAAAACCTCTCAACTACCAGCCTTCCCTCCCACCTGCACGCTCACAGCATGCAGTGCCTCTACCCTTCCCTGTAGTGAGATTAATTACCTGCTCTGAAACTCACATCGTGTCCTTCTCTCTCCCTCTCCTAACCCTTCCCCGTCCTGCTTCACCTCCTGGCCAAACAGAGAATGAACAGCCTTCCCTCGTTTGGTTTGACAGAGGAAAGTTTTACTTGACTTTTGAAGGTAAGTAGAGCATAGCCTACCAGATTCTAATTTCTAGTCTCTTCTTCCTGTGTTGTTTTTATTCCCATTGAAAAATTCCCAGTCTTCCTCAAAATTTGTGGTCTTGCTTTCTCCATTAAAAATGCTATGGCTACTTGGAAAGCATCAAGTACTAAAGAAAGCATTTCCTGAATTTGGTTGGTATGTGTTCTTCCATTTTTCATACTGAACAAACTCAAGCTGATTTGCAGTTAACATTGGTTACTTAATTAATGGTGGCCAATTAAAAGCAGAACCAAATGGAACCTTCTTTGGCTAAGGAACTTGACTCTGTCAACCAGGCTCTTTCCTAATCCTTTTGCAATTGTGTGCGTGTGGCAAACTTAAGCACATTTGAGGTTGGGATTATAATTAGCCTAATTTAGAAAACCTGGCATTCCAGATAGAGAATGTGAATGCTCCATGAGGAATCAGAGAAACAGGAGGCAAGACAAAGAGCATTAGGGGAAGGTTTGGTCCGCATCCCTGGAAACTGCAACTATAATGACTGCAGTAAAGTGGGCAACTACTGTTGAACTTGCCATTCATGAAGGTTAAGGGAAACACATAAAAACAATATCCAATTTCTAAGCTCAAAATTTGACATTTTCTTATACTCTCTATTAAGGGTTAGCACTCTCTTATTCTGTGTTTAACGTCTTACTTATCTTCACAGGCCGCACATTTGATTAAATAGCACACTTAAGCTACCAAGTGGGCATCGAGGGGCAGGGTGTTAAGTACTTTACCTAATTTATCAGCCATTTTATCCATAGGGATTTATCATACAAGTTCCTACTTTGTAAAATTTTAAATAGTGAAATTTATTCCAGGGTCAAAAGCTGATAAGCTATATTTTTCTCCCTAGAATTAAATATTAATTAAACTTGTCTTTGTGTTTCATGACAATAGGAACTTGAGTGTGAGTTTTTAAAAATCAGAATGGCTAAAATATATGAACAGTATGAAATATACCAGCAAAATTCACCTAACAATGAATTATCCTTATAAGATAGGAGCCCTTGACACTTGCACAGGTGCCAGAAACATGGTCTGACCTCAAATTTTCAGATGCCCTGAAGTCTTTTCCCAGTATGACCCAAATACAAGTGCTAAGTGATTTTCCTGGGAGGGGGGGGATGTCTTTTTTCCATGTGACTTTATCACTTAAGGGCAGCAGTTTTGTGATAGGGAAAATGCCAAGCCCACAGACTTTTGACCGCCTAAATTTTCTCTTTGATCAGCTGAAATGAAAGGGTCTAGGTGAGACCGCAGGGCTGTTGCACTCCTGTAATCCCAGCATGCCAAGCCTGATGTACCTGAAGCCAATCAGGGCTAGTAGCAAGCCCATACTGGAGAGAACCTGTCCAAAACCATTCATACAAAAGTCATCCAGGCAACAGACGCAGCTGCTTCAGGAAGGGTTGGAAGTCCTAAAGCACAGTGTGAACCTGTACCTGCCAAGGCCCAAACCCTGGTTCAACTCGGCCAATAGCAAAGCCTGCTTTATTAGCCAGGAAATTAACTGACATAATAAAGCATTATAGGTATAGGTCAATCTGAGGTGTTTTCACCTAGGGAAACCTGAAAAGATTGCAAAGACTATTTTCTATTGTCATGATAGAATGATGTAGAAATGGCTAAGAATATGGCCTTACCTCAATGTTTATGCTCCAAAAGGATAGCCATTCAACACATTCTGTTGAATAGTATTTTAACAGATTTCCTCAGACACTCATGTTTATCCACATTTATTCTTACTAATTACACTTTTCTTCAATGCTTCATCCAGAGAGTGAAGAACATGAAAGTTCTCATGTCAAAATCGTCACTTGTTCTAAGTAGCTTTTCATTTATTTACTGACTTTTGAATAACTTTTCTTGTAGCATTTCAAATTTCATTGTTCATTATCCATTCTTAATAGTGACTAGGACCCTATAGTCATTCAGTTCTAAATTTACATTGGCCTTATTAAGAAAATGATTCAAATGCTAGTGACTTTTTTGGTGATTTGAGACAGGGTTTCTCTTTTTCAAGACAGGGTTTCTCACTAGTGACTTTTTCAATCAACCAAAAGAAAATCCTGGGGCTGGGAATAGGTTTCAGTTGGTAAAGACTTGCTACACAGATGTGAAGACCTAGCACCCACCTAAAAACTCAGGCACCACATTTCACACTGTAATGACAACACTGTGGAGGTGGAAACAGGAAGATCCAAGGGCTCGCTGGCCAGGAAGTCTAGCCAAATGGTGAGCTCCTGGGTCAGAAGAGACACTACCTCAAAAGTAAGGTGCAGAGCAATTGAGGAAGATATCCACCATTTACCTTTGACCTTGACACCCACAAACACACATGTGGGCACACACCAGTAAGAACACTTACATGTACATGAGTACACAGAGAGAGAGAGAGAGGGAGAGGGAGAGGGAGAGAGCACCTGCCTTCAGCCATCAAGTATCCTCAAATAGAAAGGAATGGTATTTCCATGACAAATCACTATGCCTAATAGATATTTCAATTCTGAGGTGCCTTTTAACGTCAAGATGTTTCCAAAAATGTGCTGCCTCTTCTTGGGTGACTTTTTAAGCTATAAAATCATCTTGCATCTGGTGGTGAAAATCAAACAACAAACATCCTTGCTACCATGAGTTTCCTTGTGTCTCAGACCATCTTGGTCACCTGTGTCACACTGTCCTCTGTGACCCTGCGTGCTACTCTTCCTCCTGTTGGCATGGCATCTTTGACACCCCTACCCTACATTTTCAGCCTCTCTGCTGAACTCACACTCATTTCCCTAACTGAACCCCAGCTCTCTCCAAGGATGACCATTTTTCAGAAGCAGTCTCCATGAAATATTCCTCCCTTTCCTGTGGCCATGTGTCATGCAAATGGGAGCCAGATATAAATTCTCATAGCCCTGCTTTGCCTGTCAAAGCCTCCTGCCTTTAGACAGTAGTCATTGATCATCTAACTGATCACTCCACTGGCTTTCCCCCCTTATTGCTATTGACCACTGACTTCCAGCCTCTCTCTGCATTTATCTGTAGACTTGACGTATGAGTAACTTCCTTTTCATCATGTTCATTTCAAGCATCATCCCTAACAGATGACCCATCCAACACATGATCTCCAGGTCCTCTCAGGCTGCATCATCCCCAACATGTTTCATACATTCTAATACCTTGGAAACAGTGCCTACAGACAGGGTTCAGTTTAGTTATTTCATAACTAAAACTTGCTGGGCATCTTATATACTAGAAACTATGTTAAGCAATGAATCTCTCATTCAACAACATCTATTGGACATTTACTGACCACTCCAAACTTGCAAAGAAAACAAAAATATTCCTGTTGCCACAGAGTTTACATTCTAGCATGCAGGGTTAAAAATAGAGAAATAAGTAGTGTATATAGATAGTATGGAGGGGGAAGTGAGTTCTATAAGAAAAATAAAACTTGGTAGAGGCTGGAGCATGTTGGAGAAGTGAGGTGATAGTGAATATAATAACACTGGAGCACTCACTGTGAGTACATAAAACACTTCTGCCTATGTTCTCATCTTAACTACACATGTCACTGCTGAAGAAAATGAGATTTGGAAACAGCTTTGCAAAGCCTCACAGCCAGGCAGGTAGGGATTAAGCTGTGTGGGACACACCCTGCCCCCATGTGATCAACTTGCTCTATTCACAGTCTCATCTGTGTATAGAGCAAAGTTTTCTCTCACCCTCAGCCCTCCAACTCTATCATTCCCAGACACAGCTTGTCTGTGCCTCATTGACCTCCTCGTCCACCTTCCTACTCTGACTCTACCCACCAGCCCAGTCGTCCATTCAGGTTCTTTTCTATATCCTGACTCTCAGAGAGTAAAAATGTTTCTGAAAGGACCTTGGTCATCTCTGGGATAATAGACTTTTTTCTCTCTAGACTTTTGCTGACTCTGTGAAAAAGCACTCTTAAGTGTCTGACAGTGTAAGCAACCTTTTTAAATGTCCCTAATTGATCACTAGTAAGTCACAATTACATGTAAAAAACACTGACCTCCTCCCTCCCTCCATTACTCCCTCTCTGTCTCTCTCTCTCCTGTCTGTCTCTGTGTCTCTGCACCCTCTCTCTCTCTGTGTGTCTCTGTCTCTCTCTCTCTCCTAGGGACTGAACCCATAGCTTCAGATCCACTAGGCAAGTTATCTCTCACTGAGCAATATCCCACCCAACTTCACTCACTTTTATTTACCCTGGTTTGTAATAAAAGTCTGTAAGAGGTTGGAAAGGCTAATTAACTCACTTGGAAGTCATTAAAGAAAGGAAAATTGAAAGGTGTGGACAGTTTTCTGGGAAGTAATTGCCTTGCTTAATTCCTAGTGTTCTTCAGATGGGCGGGTCCCTCTGATTGTACCACTTAACTCAGGTCCTTTTCCATCAATAATGCATTAAGTTTAATGAGTGCTTACTTTGAAAATCAGCATTAAGCTATCAGGACAGTGAAACCATGCAGGACCATAAAAAATAGCGATTCAAGTCAGTCTTCATTCAACATAAAAGCATGATCCTTGCCCTTCTGAGATTGTGTGCATTGACTGTTGTGTGTCTATGAGTTATACAATCCTTTTGATTAATAATGAAAGTCACAAAACATTCCTTTGTTTTAACATATTAAATCTGTTTAAAAGATTACAGTGAAACTGAAATCTACAAAATGTGCTACCAGGGAAGTCTGCTGAGGATTTTGTTCCCATTTTTTCTTCATAGTAATCCAGTTGCCTGGCTTTGGAAATCCCTTGGAATGAGTGTGTGAATGTTTGCTTGGCTTCCTGCTCTTTGAAGACATTACCCTACCTCATTATGTTTACTGTAACACAGACATGCTGCAGACAGAATGAGTGGTCATCAGAGTGTATCCTAGTCATCTCAAATGTGTGTGAGGGCTCCTAGGCAGGACATGAATGTCCAGAACTCAGGTCAGAATCTCTCTGATTAAATA